TTCACCAAGGGTCATATGTAAACAAAACCACTCCTGGTTAGTGCTCTTGAGGGTTACTAAGTCCACTGCCCACTTCTCCAGCCTCTGGGACATGTCTATCTGCTCTAAGTGACATCAAAAGCAGTTAAGAGTCAAAGGTTTCTCAAGGCGGTTGATCAATGGATTTCAAAACCTTCATACACCTTCTGTTTCTCAGCTACTACAACTCTATCTGTGAAAACAAAACATTACCCCATACCAATTTAGTAGCATTTTTTATTTATACTGGTGCAAAACCAGTAAGTGGGTGATTGTGTGTATACAGTGCATTGTTAAAGCCATTAGAAGAGTTCCTAAATATAATATATCATTGTTTAGAAGGTCCCTGCACTTACTCTTTGAAGTTTCTTTGATGAACTCTGCACTTCAACCGTGCATTCCAAGACCAAGGTCCACAAACGCTCAATTCCCAGTCGAGCATAGTACTGAAATAAAACAAATTAACAGCTGGATATGTGGATATGTATGTTACTTCCTGCGTAAGTGGCCATGAAGTTTCCAAAGCCGCCAGGGATTCACAGACAATGAATACACACAGCTCTGACATCTGAAGTAGGGAATGTTTACAACCAACTGGTTCAGTGCATCATAGAGACTCTTATACAGACTTCCAGGTCTAACAGAATGACTGTGCTGCCCCATGCAACAACCTTGATCCCGCCGGATGTTACTTAATAACACCTGGGACATGATAATATTGGAGCCATTAGAACCTTGATGCATTGTTCTGAAAACAACTAGAGTATCAGCGTACAGAAAAGCAACATCTGTCATGTAACAGGGGTTTTTATGATACTCTTTGTTCTGGTACACAAAGCAAAATTCTGTTAATATCTTTGCCCGGGTAAGATTAAAAATGTGGAACTGGAGCATATTCCTGGTCCTCCTGGAAAACTGGAGCCAAAGATTGTGATGACTTTGTGTCACCAGCTAACAAAATCCTCTTGCTGAAGAATGCCCAGAGCTCCATATGTTCCTCTGCCTGCAACAGGGAGGTAGCTGGCTCTCACTGCAAAGCAATAATAGTCCTTCAACAATCACTGGTAAAAAGAAACACATGTCACTACCTTTTCCCACTCACAGACACTTGTTCCTTAAAGGAAACCGCCACTAAATACCAAAAATAATTACTGGGCATACCTGGCTAAAATTCCATCACCTAAAAGACCATCTTCTGCTCCCACTAATGGTTGTGGAGTTTGGGGATCATCATCAGCAGTTTCTGGTAGTGGATAGAACAGAAGGAAATGAGCTTGAGCAATATATTACAGTACTCACAAAAGAGTATGTTCGGAGAATAAATTGAGGTCAGATTGAGACTGATTCGACAATTTAATTAGGAACTATAGTTTTCTTTACCAAAGCAAAGAGAAGTAAAGCTCTTTTAACCAATTCAAGCAAATGCTAGATGGGAAAGATGCACACAATTTAAAATGTTATCTCATGTACAATGTAAAAAGCTGAAAAGTGCAAAGAAGAAAATTCTACCCATCATATACTAATATGTGCATGGAAAATGTGTATATATAGTATGTCTAATGTAAAGCCTCTTAAGTAATCTTCCTTATATACACATTAATATATTCTACTGCAAACATATTCCAGTATTCAACATTCAGAATCGCAAACATTTTACCTGTTCTTGCTTTGGAACGGTAGAAGCAATCCTGTCCCTGAACACAAACAACTGGGTCCAGGTTGTCAAGACCAAAAGTTCCTTTTGATAGCATGCCTAGCTGATGCCAGCAAATGTCTCGACCATGTTTGTCAGCAAAGGCATAAACCATCTTTACAAGGCTGCAATTCAAAACAAAAAATAAATAAAATAAAGTAATAATCATACACACAGGAAATACAATAATGTTTTTCTCTATAATGGTGAAGATGAAATGATAATGTTATTCTCTATAATGGTGGTATGCAGAAAATAATCCTCCAAAATAGGGACTGATTAGGCCAGGAAGCTAACTGTAAGCACCTGTTCTTACTGACTAGCAGTTTTGAAGAGATTTGTCTCACTATTGTGTCATATCACACAAAAATAACCATATACCTGTAGGAAATCTCTGAGACCAAAAGAATTCTCTTTGTTTCTTGTGCTCTATGGAATATTGTCTCAGGTAGGCTTCAGCTGTAGCTCTAGCAGCAAAGGCTTGATTCTTCTGAGAACTATTTCATTAGTTGAGCAAATGCCTCTGAAATTAGATAATAAATAGAGACTACATGTATTCACAGAAGTGCATAAAGTTTGCTTTACTGCAGAATATATTACTCAGTATTTTTCTGTGGTGTATTTTTTGAGCCAAGTGGTGTTTCTATCAGTTGACTTACTTTAGCACTTCCACCAGCTCCTGAATCATCAGGGGAGCTTCCTGCACCAGGATACCTCGAAGTTCATCTTGGCAGGGTCCAGGGCCCAGTTGGAGATACCAATGAAGGCAACCTGGAATATATTATAAAGGTAATGCTATTTTGGGGGCATTATCATTTGCAGAAGCCCGAGGTCTTCCCATTAACTGCCCGACGAAGGAGGGCAGTTGCTGAAAGACCGAGGGCTTCTGCAAATGATAATGCCCTCAAAACAGCATTTACCAAGTATTATTTCTAAAAATACATGGAATTTGTGTTGAAAAGAAAAAGGAAACAATGAAGAAATTTGACTGTAGGGTTTTACCAAATCAATCTTCTGACGGGGTTGACTGCCCGGAATGCAATTACGCCATCGAACAATTCAAGTGGCGTCACAAACAGAAAGTGACGACTTTTCACCTTGGCCTTTGACACTGACCATAGCCTACAACATGTCAAACTATGTCACTGTTCTGTTTTGGTCCATCAACAGCCCTAATAGTGCAAATGTTAAGGTTAGCACCAACAAGAAAGCCAATATTACCATATATATTTAAAGGGGGAATTCGGGTTGCTTTGACTTGTTTGACCCTTGGTGTAGAATATCTGCCAGTCAGAAAGTTAATAAATGTCGAATGAACCGTAAAGCCCATGCACCCACTATGACGCCACTTGACAATAGAACTGATAGTGGCCCGTCGTTAAGGGTTGAAGCCCGGTCCAATATCACTTACGCAGCGGCCCGCAAATTTCCTGATAATGGGAGGGGCCGTTTCATGCTAATTCCATGTATTTAGCTATAATACATCATACTTGTCAAGTACAAATAATACTCCTTCAGCTTATCATGGTGTTAGTTTCAACTTATTTATGCTTCTTGCTTCTCTCTTCTGTTAGTACACTGAACTTTCATAAAAAAAAATGCAGATAACATTATCCATCATTTGAATATGCTTCTCACCCATCAATTTAAAATACATGAAAACTTTGCATTCAGAAAAGATTGTTGCTGTATGTGAAGACAGTGATGTTTGTTTAGGTAATAGAGACTGCATGAAGAATCCAAACAACAATGTAGAGATTGCTTTGACAATCATGCATTTGATGACTGGCTGAAATGTGCACCATTTTAAGAACAAATATTTCCCTTGAAGGTAAGGAGTAGTGACACATCAGCTTTTGAAACAGAGATTTAATATTTACAGAGACTCACAGGATTAACGTGATCACTGAATGTGTGTGACAATTCTTGTCTGCTGACACAATTGCAGCAAACTATTTATATTATGCCATTTTTTATTAGAATTTTCTAGCTGGACACACATTACTGACAGTCACTTCCCTCAAAGTTATTATTATACAGCTAACATCGTGGGAGGAAGATGGAAAAACGCACTGTAATGAAAGAAGTGTACACAAATCAATGTACAGAGGTCATTCTTTTTACTTCTACCTTCTTTGAATGGTTCTGGCTTTTTCATCTCCCCTGACAAACCATCTTCCAGTAGTGGGATGGAAGTGGTCTGTAAGAATAGAATGAATGAATAAAGCTCCTAACCCACTGTTACTAGTATTTGTTTAGTGTATCGTAAGTTCATCCAAATATATACATGATTAAGCTTAGACAAATTGATAAAACCCACTTGAGTACAACAGTCACATTTGTATCACAGTGCTTGTACCTCAGTAGTTGAGGTGCCTATCAAGAAGCCATTTTAAATTTGAGGTGGGGAATCCCAGACAACAAATTTATCTGTATCTATCTTTCAAGAGCCTTTGCTGTTTTACTATGTTGCAGTTTGAACCTCTACCACCAAACAGGAAATTTGACATACATCTCTGCATGACTCTAGGAGTTGGAGTTAGATCCAGCCCACAAAACTAGAATTCATAATACAAAGCCTGTACTTTTCTTATGAAAAATGGAATCAGCATCCAAGTTAGTTGTAACAAGTAATCTTCTCCATGTTACTTGCCTAAATCTGTCTAAAGACCTCCCAATGCCTATTCAGATTTTAAGAGCCTAACAGTGTTTAGTGGAACATAAGTTGCAACTTTGTGATGATTTACCTTGGAGTGGCATCCTTGGTGCGGTCTTTAACAGACCAACTTCATCCAGGACAACAAAGAAATGGAGGCCAAACCTGTCTGCAGGTCCTTGTCCTTCTGATACATGGCCGATACTGGACGAAGGGTAGGACCGACACACTTTCAGCAGTGGCCAAAGGACTTATACTGGAATGACACCCATCTGTTGCCTGCAAGAGTATACTTAGAAACCGTATACACTACAATTATAAGATGATACTGGACATGGCCAAATGACTGAGGACACTGTTGCCAAATTACTTTGTTCGTGATCACCACTGTTTTTCATTTCAAAAAGCATAAGGAATTCTTGTCCATTAAATTGAATGTAATTCATTCATCTTCTTTCCCGATATTTATCTCAACAGTCTTAAAGCTTATTGTTGCTCCAATGAAACATTGAACATGTTCAAGGTGTGATACAAGATGACAAAACATTTACTTCTACTAAAAAGAGATATGTTAAGGTCTTGGTTCCTCTGAAAGAAGTGTTTTTGGAATGACACAAAGCCTGTTTCCAGTTGTTTGAATAGCTCTGATCTGGCTGAGTTGCCCTGCATGGCATCTGCAACAATGGTTTTGGCCAGGGACTTGGAACTGCCTGGTTTTCCCACCAGGAACAGGGGATCCTCAGTTCAATACAGACAACCATCATGAATAGGTTCTCTTTGAGGGCCTGGTTCTTTGCTATGTTGTCTCCAAGCTTGGACTTCATCCACAAACACTTCTCTGACAGCTGACAAAAAATAAAAGAACATTTATATTCCACATTGCTAGTTGATTATTAAACATAGAAATACTATACTGAAAGGATTTACACAATTTACCTAAGACATCAACAAGTACTTGTGTCAGAATGGTCCTTTTCTCAAACAAGAGCAGAATTACATACTCATGTGAGGAAAATCAATTCATTACAATTCAGTAAAAACATTGTTCTCAAGTACTTCGCCAAGTGAGGGGTGAATGCATTCATTGCATGAATGGCAGACTCCTGCCATGATAAGGTGTCTTCTCATATGTTGATGTGAATACCAACTGAAGGATGACTCCAAAATGATGCTAAAAACTCAAATGGAAGTCCTTGAACCACCAAGGACATTGAACAAAGTCAGCTTCGATTTCACTCAAAATGCCATGCAGCTGTGATTGGTTTGTGTCAGGCTGCATTCATTAGAATAAATACTACATCTAGGAAAGTTCACTGTTTTGCAGAGACTATTTCCAATAACCTGAGATATACCTAAAAACACACTAACACTGATCTGTGGGATATGATGGAAGGAAGTGGGTTATTTTTCTTAGAATTCTACACAATGATAACTAATGTTTGATTTATATGTACATCTACTAGTTTAAGGTTGAAGAGGTGTTCACTCTTGGAGACTCTGTGATATAAAGATCTGTCCTTCCAGGCTGAGGCACAAATGGAATCATGCCTAAGACATTGTGTATCTTTTTCAGCATGGATCTTCCTGATTCTGTTGTGCATGATGGGAAGTATAGAGTGAAATTCTAAAAGCGGTTGATACTGGCTCTTCATAGCCGAGAAGCTTATAGTCTGTTTGCAACCTTAATTCTCTTACAAATTGATAAAAACGACATTCTTTTAATTAACTGAATTCATTTACTCCTGATATGAGCATAGCCACCATAGCCACTTGCAAATCACTAAACAAACATTCTCTTTAATTAATTAACACCTTTACGGTATGTTGATCACGACGATATCGATGCCTCCGGGTATTTTTATTCTGTCGATGATTAGCAACATCATATTTTTCATTTTAATCGACAGATGGGGCTGATGTCCCTTCGATTGTTTTCAGAATTTACCGAATTACCTTGGTTTGCTGTAAAGTACCAGCATGTCACTGTGTATCATAAGAAGAGGGGTCACATTATTTAGGGGGGTAAAGATCTCAAAGTCTTTTCTAGCTGTATCAGCATTAATTGCTGCGTCGGCCTCCTATAGCCACTGGTGTTTTTTGACAGTATAACTTTGGTTTTCATCCCAAATAATTCCAAGAACTGTTTTGGTATACAAACTGCCATTGTATATGAATTAATAATAATAATAATAATAATGTGTCCATTTATATATAGCGCCAAACTCCACACCAGGTATGCTCATAGCTAACAATCAATAAGGCATTATTAAAGTCCATAGAACTTTTGTAAAGAAAGGTTTTGAGATGGCACTTAAAGTTTTCAAGAGTTGGAGACAGCTTAAGTTCATCAGGGAGGGAATTCCATTTGACTGATGCCATGTTCTGATAAGACTTGCAGCCAAATGATTTTAGGTTCCACTTTGGTACATAGAGCAGATTAGCCGAGGGATGAACGCAGAGTTCTTGTTGGCATGTAAGGAGAGAGGAGTTCTTGAAGATACACTGGTGCAATACCATGAATGGATTGATAAGCAAGTGTAAGGATCTTATAGTCAATCACGAGCCTCAATAGGCAACCAGTGAAGAGACAACAGGATAGGAGTGATGTGGCAGCGTTTTGGTTGGAGAGTAACTATGCGGGCAGCTGTGTTCTGGATTTGTTGGAGCTTTTGGATGGACTCTTGTGAAGCTGCAACCAACAAGCTGTTGCAATAGTCAAGTCGTGAGAGAATCAGTGTTCTCACCAGGGCAGCCGCAGCATCCTGTGACAGGAGATGTCTGATCTGTCCAATGTTACGGAGATGGAAGTAACATTTTCTGCACAGATCAGAGTCTGTTTCTTCATGGAGAGGTCAGGTTGGAGTAGGGCGCCAAGATTTCTGACATGTAGAGAAGGCTGAATGACCATGTTTCCAACTTTCAACTCAACATGTTGTGATTTTACTAACATGTTTCTTGTGCCAACAATCATACCCTCTGTCTTGTGTTCATTTAATTTTAGTTTGTTATTGAACATCCACGAACCAATATGGTCAATGGCATCTTCAATTCTGGTCAAGTCAGAACTGTTGTCATAGCCCATGGTAATACCATCAAACAACTGAGTATCGTCAGCATAAAGATGATGATTAGTGGCTTTCTCACAAAGCAGATCACCAAGTTCTTTGGTATACATAGAGAACAATACAGGACCGAGAACCGATCCCTGTGGTACACCACAAAGAATAATAGCTTCCACCGACTGAGCATTACGAACAACAGCAACAGATTGAGTCCTGTTTGATAGGTGGGACCTAAACCACAGAAAAGCCATATCATTTAATCCATACTGGAACTGAAGTCTTGATAGAAGTATCTGGTGATCCACCGTATCAAACGCGGCCGATAAGTCCAAGAGAACAAGAACGGCTGAGTTCCCCTGTCAACGCTCCCACTGCAAATCATTTACAACACGGAGCAGGGCTGTTTCCGTGCTGTGGAATGACCTATAGGCGGACTGGAATTTGTGATATTCCTTGGAATTCCTTGTTCATACTATTTATTTTTAGCAAATAAAGTTCAAGGTTTGAAATGGCCCATATATTGGCGTGCCATGGCACCGTAAATATTGAAATGGCACGGATAAAAATGTTCCGGGTGCCCTAATGGCATGCCTAATTTTTTATAGACATAACTCACCTTTAGTCATTTCATCCCCAAAACAAAACACTTAGGCAAATGACAAACAAGCCAAAAAATTATTGACCCTATCGCCAAGGAAATCACTGGAATTATGATGGATGATGTAAAGAAATCTGGTACAGTTATTTATTTCTGAAAGGCACATTTAAAATATTTTAGTGCACAATTAGAATTTCTCTATCTCTCTTCCTCCCGAAGTTTGAATGTGCCTGCTCTCAATCACAAATTTACCAGGAAGCTATCATGATGAAAAAAAGAAGAAGAAGGTTTGGTCTGTTTTATCCATAGAACTTTATACTGTCACTGTCAGTCTATGGCTTTGATGTTACAGAGTTAAGGTATCTGAAGGAATTATCTCATCTTGGGAGTGTGAGCATACAAGGCACAGTAAAGAGCTCCTACAGGTAGTCGATCATACACCTGAAATATCTATAGCGCCAACTCATCACTCATAAACAATATCAGAAAAAATGGATGAATACCTGTTTATAACTTGAACCATCTGCTGAGTTCCACCAGGTATGCCACAAGGATCTAGAAAATATCTGAATACATGATCATCATACTCGTCTCGACTTCTCAGTGATGCTCGGTAACACACACTTAGTGCCAGGATAAGGGCTTTGGTGACATCAGTGGGCTGAAAGAAAAACGTCCTCAATTTAATATTTGTGTTCTATTCTTTAAAGTTTACTTTATCTGACACAGATTTAAAACTGCAGGCCCTTATCACTCTTATTGTATTTTTAATCTTTGGACCAAATGTATGTTTAAAATAAATGTTATGACAAGAGCTCCTTGATAATCCTTGTATCACTGAGCAAAACAACAGCATATATTACCTCAATTTGACAAGTGTAATACAATATTAATGCACTGGCTTTGGACTGGCAGATATTCCAGGGCAAACAAGTCAAAGCAACCCGGAATTCCCGCTTTAAATAGTGGTAATTGCAATTGCACTATCAACGTTGTTGTTGGACCTAAACCGAACATTGAAAACTGACGTTGTGTCTGACACAGTTTGACATGTTGCAGGCTATGGTCTTGTCAAAGGCCAAGATCAAATATCGTCACGTTCTGTTGTGACGTCACTTAAATTGTTCGATGACGTAATTGCATTCGGTCAGTCAACCCCAGTTGGTTTTGAGTAAACTTGCAGTCAAATTCCTTCATTGTTTCCTTTTCCTTTTCAACACAAATTCCATGTATTTTAGCAATAATAACAGTAATGCTATTTTTGAGGGCAATATCATTTGCAGAAGCCCTCAGTCTTTTTCAACTGCCCTCCTTCATCGGGCAGTTAATGGAAGACCTAGGGCTTCTGCTAATGATAATGCTCTCAAAAATACCATTACCTTTATATGAGTCAGGATAAGTATAAATGATATTTTTATCCTAAACAATGCATATTTTACCTTATCCTGACCCATACCTAATTGCTTGAATCCCACAGTAGGTGGTGAGATCCACCGTTTGTTTGATTCAGATCAACAAACTGATCTACATGACCCATGGGAATGTACTCTTCTTCTGGCCATCTGCTTCTTCCAGTGGGGCACCACCTCTATGCTTGTGAGAGGAGGAGTGAATCTCATTAATTTTGTGGATTGTCAGATGCTGCGTGACCACTTGGGGTCCGAATTTATGTAGACCCTCCATATCTTCAGTAATGAAGTGTTAGAGATGATTGGCAAACACTGTGTCTAACTTCCAAAAACATGATTCCATGATTGTAGAGATGGAGCAGTTGACATATAGCGCTAGTGTGGAGGCTAGCACTCTTACATCGTTTGGGTTGGAATCTGAGAGAGGATCAAGTCTGCTTCTATGCATGCCTCGAAGTATGTTAAATCTTAAGTTATCTTTGCCAAGTATTGAAGATAATACTGGATGCGATATTGACAGTCTGCATTGGGTCCATTATCAAATCTAGTGCGACTGAAGTTTATAGCATTGATCTCTGACCTTCTGGCAGCTGTAGCTAAAGTCAGGAAAAGTAGTGTTCTCTGTGTCAGGTGTTCGAATCTGGTTTCTGAGCCATTAAACTTAGCTAAACCTACAGAGGTTTCCAATTCTTCGAAGAGAGTCGTCCTTGGGGTACATATATGCATTTTCTGCAGCTGAAAATGTCCTGTGACAGTTGTATCAATGTTTTAATAAAAATATTGTACAACAAATAAAAATCTTCTTTATCTATTATATGGCCCCCACCACGGAGTTACGCCCCTGCTACGCATGCTAACCAACCAGGTAGGCACCTAGGTCCATATCATCATTCCTTCTGCTGAATAAATCAGTGAACAGAAATGTAGGGGAGGTGGGTGGCCCTATCCCAAGGATCGACTCTTTCAAAGAATTGAAAACCTCTGCAGGTTTAGCTAATTCTTTTTATAGATCGATCGTCCTTGGGATACATATATGCATTATCTCAGACTCCCAAACACTGGAGGCCAGGAGGAGGGAATTCTGTCAAAGTACACATGAATAGCGATCGCTTATGAAGAATGAAAGAGAGGCCACAACTCTCATCTCTCACGTGTCCCAAGCTTCCATGAGAGGCATGATGGGAGGGTAACCGACAGGAGGATAAGTACTTACATCCGACCTCATAGGTTTAAGCACAGCAATTTGCACAGAGTGCGAAAATAGAAAACCCCAACCATATCATGATCTATTAGGGGAGCACGTGTAAGGGGAAAACCAACTCACAACCGACAGTAAAATCTCGGGAGAGAATCGAAAGGAGTTAGATCACACAACAGCGGATATATCAATAAAACACAATTGAAAGCAGCGTCAACTGACCAGATAACCAAGACTCACTCGGTCAGGGTGGCAGGACACTGTCCACTGGAGAGAACAGAACGGCCAAAACGCGCACGATCACGTGAATGTGTATTGAGCTGATAGTGCCTGATAAAGTGCTAGGCCTGCTCCGGAATAGGGGCAGAGCATATCTCTTCAATGGGTAGTGCAGATGCAAAAGCCTCTGACGTGGGCCACTGCCCTGACTGAGTGAGCCTTCAACCCATCAGGGGGAGGCTTGCCCTTAGCCTGATAAGCAGCACAAATGACCAATACAAGCCAGTGAGATAGTGTCTGATTGCTCGCCGGCACCCCAGCCTTCCCGCCACCGTAACAGCAGAACAGATGGGTACCCGTACGGATCCCCTGTGTTCGTTTGATATAGACCTTGAGAGTCTTTCGGACATCCAACGGGTGAGGGCTCGTTGTAGAGGTCCCCGATGTGGAAGGCTGGGTAAGAGTAGGAAGTTCGATGAGAGGCTGTCACATGGAAAGCGGATCGATCTTCGGACGGCAAGTATCCGGGAGGCTAATACTGACACGATCTGGATGGAACACAGTCAGCGCCGGGTCTGCCAGTATAGCATGTAAATCGCCCGACCCCTACGCCCAGATGTTACCGCCACCAAAAATACAGCCCTCCATGTAAACAACTGAATGGAAATAGCCGATGGTAGATGGGGAACGTAGGACCGACAGCCAATCTAGCACAACTGACAAGCCTTCTTCCAAACGAGCTTGCAAAAAAACTCCAATACTGGACTAAATCCGCAGAAAAGGGATCTGCAATCACCTTATCTGAACACCAGCCGGCGCATAGCGGGACCACCTATCCTTATATTGAACGTTTGTCCGAATCCATACTCGAATCCAGAATTGTGTCTGCAACTGCTGCAGGAATTCTGCGTGGCTTCGAGGCTAGATCTGACAGAGGCCAAGCCACCCACTGAATCCTTGGATTGGGGTATGGCCGCGCCGCTCTGAGTGAGAATGTCCGATCCGCAAAGGTAATAGAACAGGAGGCTGAGCCAGAAACCTGAGAATTACCGAAGCCAGCTCTGTGATGGACATAGCACAAGTAGCCAAGCTGGCTGGGTGGACAGCTGTGACAGGACCGGGGAATGAGTGGTAGCGCGGAACGCATGAGAGCAATTTGCCGTCCAATCCAACAGGAAGGTGTTGGAAGCCAATGCACTCTGGTCCGGTATTCGAGAGCAGAACATGGGTATCCGGATTTGTCCTGCCGGACGCAAACAGATCCACCTGGAACGATCCGTACAAATGAGAGATAATTCTGACTATCTGCCGGTCGAGCATCCACTCATGTGTGGCCAGGATCCAGCAAGAGAGAGCATCTGCTCGCACATTCTCCAGCCCCAGGAGATAAACAGGAAGCAACTGACATTCGCACTGGTCACATCAGAGGAGAAAACCTCACGTCTCCCGAAGGAGCGCTAGGGACACCATGCCGCTGTACCGTTGTCCAACAGAAGACAAACCACCTGGCCCTGAACATGCTCCCGGAAGCGCTCGAAAACCAACCTCACACCTCTCAGTTCCAAAACGTTAATGTGAAGGCAGGCTTCGAGCAGAGTCCGACAACCGACAGACTGCCCAGAAAACACACACCCAGCCCGTGAGGGATGCATCGGTTTGAACTGTAAGAACTGGCGTCGGGATTTCCAAAGGGATCCCCTTGGATCCCGACATTGGTCAACCACTGAAGGTAAGGAGACAACCACCCGGGGACTGTGAGGCACTGCTCCAGGTCCTCCGAGTGAGCCCACAGATTCGCCAAAGCTTGCTGTATAGGGCGCATCCTCAACCGTGCCCGCCACACTACAGAGATAGTAGCCACCATATGACCCAGTAGACGGAGCCAAGTCCAAGTGCCTGGGGCTGGGAGAGACACCATCTCCCGTACTCTGGTCACCCGGTCGGGCGACAAGAAGATAAGATCCTTGTGAGTTGTGAACCGCGCCCCGAGAAAAAAACAAGTCCTGGGTGGGTACCAGGTCGGATTTCTTGAGGTTTATGATCCACCCCAGTCGAACTAGAATGTCTATCACTGTGTGGGTAGAATCTAGGCTCGCTGGCTGAGTTAGAGCGCTGAGCAACCAGTCGTCTAGGTAAGGGTAACAACGCCTTCCTTGCGAGCGAGCGAGCGAGGGTAGCCGGGGCTAACATGAGCTTGGTGAACACCCTTGGGGCAGTGGATATGCCGAAAGGGAGCACCCTGAATTGGTAACACATCCCGTCGTAAGAGAACCGAAGGTACTGCTTGAACGATGGATGTATGGGCACATGCAGATACGCATCCTTGAGGTCGATTGACGTGAGCCAATCGCTGGGCTGAACAGATGAGATCACCGAGCGCAGTGTCTCCATCTTGAAGGATGGTACTTCGAGCATGCGGTTCAACCCCTTGAGGTTGAGAATGGGACGGAACCCGCCGTCTTTCTTCGGGACGAGGAAGTACGTGGAGTAAAATCCCGCCTGTTCCTCTCCCGGTGGAATGCGCCTGATTGCGGACTTGTCCAGCAGAGCCTGAACTTCATCGCGCAATATGTCCGCCCTTGCCTGACATGACGGCACCGGAGTGCGGCGTATGCCGGTGAAGTCGGGCGGACCTCGCTTCCACAGTGGTAAATGGCCGACGCTGATGGTGGACAGCACCCAAGCGTTGTTTGTAGCCTTCTCCCACTCCGGCAGGAATAGAGAGAGGCGGCCACCCACTGGGATGTGGGGTAAGAGCGCGTGTGTGGTCCCGAGTAGCGGAGCTGACTGGGAGTGACACACGGCTGGGTCTACAGCCTGATGGGTTAACGGGAGGTCGGGGCAGACCTCCCGCGCCCGCGAAAAGGCTGGGAGCTAGCCGAAGAGGACTGCTCCTTGCCCTTACCCTTGGCGGACCTGTTCCTCCGCCTACCCCTGCCAAGCGGCCGAAGCCAGCCAGAGGACTCGGTGTAGGCTGCACCCCGGCGGAGGAAGGTGGAACGGGAGCGCGGAGGTGAGAAGCCCGCGGGTGCTCCAACAAGGCCTTAGAGTCCTTGAAGGAGGTAGCTGCAGCGGCAGCCTCCCGTATGACCTGCTGTGCCCCAGGAAACAGCGTCGCTCCCAGACGGAAGGGAAGGGCCAGCAAGGTCTGCTGTGTCGCTGCCGAGTAACGAGACGTCGACAGCCACAGCTTGCGCATCCCCATGACTGTGCACATCACCGTCGACGCAGCGGACCACAAAGAGTCGCGTGCGAGGTGGGCCTGCACTTTGGACAACTGACGGAGTAGCACGACATGCGGAGAAACGTCTCCAGCATGCCCCTCCGCCTCCAGGGCCGACCTCTGTATCGAGGAGAGGTAGGCCTCATGGACCACAACCCTGACCTGCTGCATAGCGTTCTGGAAAACCTCCTCGTAGGTACGGTACGCATGCCGCAGGGGCGCGCCCGCGAGGGCAAACGGTGGTGTCAACCGACCTTGCCGAGCAGCCGGAGCTGCTCCTGAGGAAGCCGAGCCTCCCCCCCAGGCGACCGAAGTGAACACGCACTCATCCACCATAGGAACCGCGAACAGGGAATCCTCCCCCAGCTGGTACCTCCGGACAAGCTCTGGCAAGTCAAAACGGAGGCGAGAACCAGACAAGAGGGGATCGACCACGTCCTGGAACAACGATGGAAGAATACGCAGCAGCGTCTGCGTAGGCTGCCTAGGGGCAAACGCCTCGCCTGGCAGGCGGAACTCAGCCGAGTCCGAGCAGCTGGCAGGCACCGCGGCCTGGGGTAGGTACTCGGCAATGCGTTGCCGGACCTCCCGCAGAGCCGAAGAGAAACTGAAGGCACCCTCCTGCTCCTCGACCTCCCCAGTATCCCGAGACGCTGGAGGCAGACCAGGCAAAACTGGTGCCTCCGCTCTCATGGGGCGGGAGGGCGCAGGGATCGGAACCCCAGGAATCATCAACGGTCCCTGCGCCAACTCCGAGAGGGGGGACTGGGAGTGAAGCCTCCCCCTCCGGGGCAGCCGAGGCGTCCGGACCCGAAGCCAGAGGCAACGAGTCGACAGACGCCTCAAGGCCGAGGGATCGAGCCGAGCCCGGCGATCCCACCCCCTGACTCTCCGCCCCCTGTCCAGAGTGGGCGAGGAACTCCTGCCGGAGCCCTCCAACCGACTCATGGACAAGGGACTTCACGGAGTCCATATGCTGCTGAAACAACTGTGTGATTAAATTCATATCAAAACCGCTACTAGTAGCGGGAGAAGGGTACTGGCTACGGTATTTTTTTCCCTTAGAGCGCGGCTTTTTAGCCTTAGATGGGGGGACCTGGGTAAGTTCCCCTCCCGCCTCACGCATTTCTCTGTAAAAGAGGAAATCAGCCACCCTCCTCTTCTGGGCCCGGGGGGAAAACCCCATACAAATTTCACAAGTTTCGGCCTCATGGCCGGTCTTTTCCAGGCACACGATACACTTGTCGTGTCTGTCGGCCCGTGGAATACTCTGCCCACAGACCGAACAGAGGAAAACGCCTGAAAGCAAACACGCAAGCATGTAGCTAACGGCGGACCAGCAGCTAATATACACATAGAAAACATTGAAAAATACGTGAACGCTACCACGGGAAGAAATAGTTGGTTCAATATGCAATATTACAACCACGTGGCACGCTAAACTTCCCGCCATGGCAGAGCAACATGTGCGTAAACCACGGGAAAGTTAGCGTAAATTAATTAATACAAAGTCACAATTATGAAACAACCGACCGCAAAGCTTTACTGTTCCTTTACAAGGACAAAATAAAGACCATACATACAGGTGGTGTCTCGGACATGATACTCTTTATCTCAGAAAAAGTCAGCTCCGCTCTACTCATGCGTCTGTTCAAGGCAGTGACAGCAGAAGGAATGATGATACGGGCCTAGGTGCTTACCCAGTTAGTGCGCATGCGCAACGGGAGGTAACTCAACGAGGTGGGGGCCGTATAATAAATAAAAAAGTTTATTTATTGTACAATCTTTTTATTCAAAAAACATTGATACAACTGTCACAGGACATTTTCAGCGTGGAAAATGCATAATATGTACCCCAAGGACGATCTCTATGAAGAAGAATTCCTGGACCCTGGGTGGATTGGGATGCACAGGTAAGCATCCCTTATATCTATGCTTACTAGATAGTCTTCTTGTTGATTTTGACTTTGAAGGATGGCTTGGATTACGAAGGCACTGCAAAATTACCTCAACCGCCCTTTTGGTGCGAAAATTTAGAGAGAAATACTTAGAGAGAGACAAGTTCTTCCACTTCAACGTTGAGTTGGCCAAAGTCCCAAACAAAAGGACGCATGCTCTGTGGCAAGGGTTGCACCCGGTAGACAAAGTCTCCTCATAGGGACCTGGCCTGTTGGAACAAAACCTCTTGGTGCGAAAATGAGAGAGAGACAAGTCACATGCTTCTGGTGCACATACGAGGCTGTGGGTGCATTCAGGTGAGATGTTTTTCAGTTTTGGGGAACACTGGCACTGGAGTTTCCACTAACATTCGGAAATGAGATGAGATAAGCAATAAGTTTGAGTCAGGATAAGGTAAAATCATGCTTCTATTGAGGAAGACAACATACTTTCTAGAGTCAGTTGAGAAATTATTCATGAACATTTTAGATAAAAAAGCATCAGGTCCCTTAAATTGTCTGTCTTCTGCAATAAATGTACACGACTGTGTGCATATAAATACCACAATGACTGTTGGAACTGTCTCCTCTTCCTCCTCTTCAGGGTCCTGTTCAGGACAAAGATCGTCATCTATCATCTCAAATAAAGTTCCATTTTCTTGGGACTGCTGGTAGAACCAGGACATGACACTCAGGGAATACGATCAACATCACGGAGGCTTACAAAGCTGCACTCGTCCTGCAGACAAAAAAAGAGGGCTTCTCATTAGTTCCTTGGAATACTGAACTCCTATGACAAAGACCGTAGAAAATTAAATATATACTATTCCTTGAAATCTAGAAAATTCACAAATGTTTTCACAGACTGATACTATCAAGTAATCCATTTCTTATTTGCACGCACTTACAAAATTCAAAGCATGATGTTGACTTATTCAGAACTATTGAGGGGCGGTGGGGTAGCCTAATGGTTAAAGCGTCCGCTCGTCACGCCGAAGACCCGGGTTCAAATCCCCACATGGGTACAATGTGTGAAGCCCATTTCTGGTGTCCCCCCACCGCGATGTTGCTGGAATATTGCTAAAAGCGGTGTAAAACCAAACTCAGTCAGTCAGTCAGAACTATTGAGCAATAATATCAACAATATTTCAGTGGAATAGGACATACCTCCTGTTTCCTCATGAACTGTTGTGAGGCTATTAGGATCTTACTGATCACGTTCACCATGTTCTGATGTGATGGTATCTTACCATTTCGTACCTGCAATTGACACCCAGAGTTAATGTACAGGGTACAAACAGCTTAGGACGTGTGCTAGTATCATCTGAATTATAAGATACCAGCTGGACAATCTAAAATATATGCATAACTAACAGTAGAAAATGGTTTATATATATTTACACGTTTTACATTCACTCTAAATATGATCATTAACATGAAATGATGCAAAGGCACAATTCCAAACCAACTTCATATGGACAAACACAAAATCAGATAATAAATCTTCAACCATATGAAATATATTTTCCATTGTTTATCATGATACAAATTGATACATGCTCAAATACTCGATCTATATGATGCAGCAGTAAAACAAACTAATTTTCCAGGAAACCTTAAAAATATAGAATTTTTTTCACTATTTGACTGAAATGTGCTTTAGCAAAGAGAGTGAACAGGTGAAATCATCTCACATATCTGTTGACCATCTGTCTGATGTAGAGTTCTTCCACTTGAACGTTGAGTTGGCCAAAGTCCCAAACAAGAGGAAGCATGCTCTGTGGCAAGGGCTGCACCCGGTAGACAAGTCTCCTCATAGGGACATGGCCTGTTGGAACAGAATCGTCTCAGCACATAGATATGATGTAGTTTCTTATGGATGATAACTTAAGAATATCAATGTCATTTGGGTTTCTGAGTATCCTCTCAAGTTAAGAAGTACATCACGAATTTCAAAAGCAAGGTACCAAAGGAATGATAACGACAGAAAGCCTAAGCTGTGAGGAGGTGGTGTCAAACAAGATTCTTTCATAATGAAAACCTGGTAAAACTATTATATTTATTTGTGAATGTAACAAAAGGCTCTGAGAAAGAACCCAAATTTACACTGTGATCATGTTAGATCTTTCAAAGGGTCACAAGTAACAACCAGTGCTCACCTAGCTTATCTGTTGTCTGATCAGCATCAACATGATAGCCAAGTCCTGCTTTTTCAAGTCTCTGAATCAACTCCTCAGAATGCCTGAAATTGATATTGTACGAAAATTTGTGCATTGGTCACAAGGTATTTTGGGTAGGCTGGAAACAGACATCCTTTCAGATTTGTGCTTCAATGCACAGAATACTGGCTGATTTGCAGCATCAGAAAAATATTGGTATTTTTTTCAATCAAATGAAATCAGAGGAGAGGAGCAAATACAATGAATTAATTTTTTCTTTACTTATTATCGGTGGCTTTGACAGTGTTACACTATAAACCAAACACTGAAAAAGTGTCAATCTGTACACTATGCAATGTTCTGTAAGTCTGTAAGGCTATGTTAATACATTGACTCCCTTCATTTGAAAGAACAGGACCTCACTTCACAAAGCAAAAAAACTGCTTTGTCTGTCATAACAACTATACTTACATTTTCGTCTATATTGACTTTGTGAAACAAGACCCACATTATACATGGTGAAGAACACACATACAAGGAAACTATCAAAGATTTATTTGCAAAATAAACAAGGTTCAAGATGTTTTCAAACATACTTTCTGTAAGGATTGCAGGCAGCTACAATCTTTAGGTTTTCTGACAGTTTCAAGGGTTGTCCATTCATACAGCCATCACACATTATTTCCTTGATGAGTCCAATGGCCTCAGTTGTGTTTGCTTCATCAAAGAACAGGACAGTGTACATGTGTGGGTTATTAGCCTTGTTAGCAATGGCGAGTTGTTCTGCATGCTTGACCTTCCTGATGATATCTTCAGGGGTTGTGCCTCCATGAACCTAGAAAATAGTCACACAACACTGCAGTGATGCTGGACATAAATGCCAACAACCTCTATTTTCAAGGACAGCCAAATTACAACAAGTTGTTCCCAGATTGGATGTTTCATATTTTCTGCCTAAAATGACTGAGGACAAATGGACAAATATGAAACAAATAAATCTAATCACAATAATGTTTTTAGAATCAGTCAAAAGGAATTCAAAGTGTACTATTATACACTGTCACAATACAAAATAGATTTTGGACACAGTTTTAACTTAGAACTGATGATATGTGGAATATCCAATGTTTATGTTTTATGCTGATTTTACTAAAGTTTAACAGTGGCAAAGCTATAAGATGACTTGGATCATCAAAAATGGGATCTTTATCCAAGTTGAGGAACTGAAATGGGTCTTAGAAATGACAATCACAATTTTAACCAAAAACCACCAACATTTCTCCATTTGACACTTTTAATGGTTTTACCTTCATAATGACCATGTTTTCCATGTCAGTGCCTGGCAGGCACTGTAAGGCACACATGAATTTAACCAATCTGGTCTTCCCACATCCTGTCTCTCCCATGATTATCACTGGGATTCCACATCTGTAGAAGCAAATATTAATCATGTATTATTTCCCTCACATATAACTTGCAAGTAGAAGTCTATTTTTGTACAAAATAGGCATTTATTCAACTGGAAAAGTAATTTTTTTCGTAAAATTGATATTTTATACTTATCCTGACTCATGATCATTTGCTTATCTCCCTCTTCTATGCGAATGGTAATGGAACACTTGAATCCTTTGTAGTTCCCTAAAGCGGACGTTAAAGTACCATCACCAACGAGTTACCTCCCTTTTCCCGCACAAATAGTCATGTGACCAGCCTTACTTGTCACACTCTTCTGATTTTTCTGCCCATGCACTTGGATCTACCGTGAAATCCGAAATGTTTCCAGCGGGGAGGTTGGGAGGGCTTATCCTCATGAGTTATGATAAGTATAAAAATATCAATTTTACTCCAAAAATTACATATTTTTCCTTATTCTGACTCATGATCATTTGCTTATAGAATCCGATGGATTGGTGGTGGGTCAGATTGAAGATATATCTTCAAGGGTCTGACAGGACACAAGGATAAGTCCTGAGTATCCTCTGGTCCGAGGATAGTAGATAGCGCGCTGGTATATGGAACTGTCTATCTGGTTGACCAGGTAGTTGATTCTTTGCAATAAAGTCCCATCTAAGTCCTAGATGTACTGCAGCATGGTGCCCCATGTCGAATCTAGTTCGTCCAATGTCAAGCACATGTATCTCAAACATTCGGGCTGCCGTGGCTAGGGCAAGTAGAAACACAGTCTTCTGTGTGAGTCGCTCGAAGGTAGTCTGTTCTAGAGGTTCGTAGGCATCACTCATGAGATGACGTAGAATTACATTCAGATCCTCCAGTTTAAAAGATCGCAGCAGAGCAAGTAATTCTGGTACTTTCGTCAATTTGATGCGTGACTTCATAGTGACCACTGTACTGATGGCTGCCAGATACGTGGATAATGTCGAACCTTTCAGATGTCTTGTATGTCTGAGATGACATAAGTATTCCGCCACTTGAGGATGAGTAGCTTCCATAGCTGTGAAGCTTTTCCGCCTTGCATATTTCTAAAATTTCAGCCATTTGTCAATCACACAAATTGCGAGTAGATCTGCGTGACGCTGGGGTTACTGCTTTTGCTGCTCTGGCGGAGCATCCTCTTTTCTTCAAACAGGTTTTGATACGGTCCACATGTGTAGCTGGAACAGTGCTGGGTTCCAGTGGACTTGTTTGGTGTGCGGATGTCTGAGTAGGTTTGGCCATTCTGGTAGCTTGAGGGTTGGACTTCCGAGATCTTCTATTAGGTCTAGGAACCAGACTCTTGTTGGCCTATAGGGCACGACCAAAGTCAGTTGTAGCGCCTGCGTCTGTCTGATCTTCAACAGTACATTCGGTAGTAGGATCGGGGGTGGAAACGCGTGAGCGTTTAGTCCTTCCCATGATATGTTCAGTGCATCTGTTGCCCAGGCTTGGGGATCTGGTACTGGTGAGACAAACGTCTGTAGTTGTTTGTTGAACCTCGTTGCAAACAGGTCTATGCATGGGGATCCTATTTCCCTAATGATGAGCCGGAATGCCTCTGGATGGAGCATCCATTCCGTAGGTGACGGGGGCAGTGGTCAGGACAGAGTATCTGCTAGCACATTCTTGGTTCCCTGAATGTGACACGCCTTTATCCAGATGTTTGCATTCTCCGTGATGTCGAAGAACTGGAATGTGAGCTGAAGATTTATGGAGAATGCCACTGTAAAATTTAAGAATATCCGTGTGGACCATCAGCATTTTGTTGATCAGCGAACTCGACCATAGCTGTATTGTGTTTATTACAGCTTTCATTTCTAGCAGATTGATGTAAAGATTCTGTTCTATTTTGGACCACTTTCCTGATGCAACTTGATTGTGGAGATGTGCACCCCATCCCTGTAGAGATGTGCGTCGAATACCGGTTCTTGCAAATAGGTCCCTACGCAAACATTCGACCTGTGAGTCCACCAAAGCAGGTACCTTTTGAGATTGTCTGGTAGCGAGATAGGGTCGATGCTGTACAGATGTTTTGCCAGGAATCGTTTCAACGGACGTAGTTGTAACCTTCCTGTGCGAGTCAGGTCCTGCACTGAGGTTAGTAGACCGAGTAGACATTGCCATGTTCGTAGTGTTAACGGAGAGATGACTGCTTGAGGAATCATGGCTTGTATCTTGACCCAACGATCTTCTGGGACCACAATTCGATTCTGCGTAGTGATGAATCTTATTCCCAGAAATTGAAGATCTTGTTTTTTGTTCTAACACTGACTTCATCAGGTTCACTAGCCATCCTAGTTGTGTGAGCAACTTGATTGTGAAGTTCATGCTAATGTCTGAGTAGACTGGCATCTTGATGCACCTGTATGCCGTCGTCCAGGTAAAAGGTATTGCATAGACCTAGATGACGTAGGTCGGTGACTATAGGCTTACCTTGTTTGAGTGGCATTTTAGAAGTTGATACGTACAATATGGAACAAGTTTTTTATGGATAACAACTTCTTTATTTCGTGAGTGCGACGTTTCGATACAGATTCTTGTACCGTTGTCAAGCAAGAGTGATACATGAAGTGGAGGAACTGCATATTTATACTGTGTATAACAATGAAACTACATACATTGTAATTGACAAAGGAAACAACATAATTGACATAATTGGTTAAGCAGTAAGCTAATGAAGCCAGTGAGTACACAAAGGATAGTGAATAGAAGCCAGAGATGTATAAATACTGGAGTGGTACAAAGAAGGAGATGTTTATACAATAGGTGCGATCTTTATACAATAGATTGGGGGTGGTGGAGGAGTGGATCATAAGCTGATGGAATGAAGTATCCTTGGTCACGGTTGATGGTGGGCTTATGGCGTTTGATGTGGACTATAGGACTATAGGCTTGGTTATTTCGTGTGAATAACCACGGAGCCGATGATATTTCAAACAGAAGGACGTTCTATTGGAAGTGTTGACCTCTGAACAGGAATCGTAGATACTTTCTTGATTCCGGATGTATGGGGATGTGCAGATATGCATCCTGAAGGTCTATGCTGGCCATATAATGTGCTGCACAGATGAGTAGTCTGAGGTGCGGTAGGTGGATCATTCTGAACCTCTCTGGTTTCAGTAGATAGTCCTGATTGATTTTCCACATGTTGTAAATCAATCTGAATTTCTCTTTGGAATTCTTCTTGGGTACTAGGAAAATTGGAGAGTAGAAGATTGGTGTGAGACGATGTTGATCTATCCTCTCTACTGCATCCTTCGTTAGAGGTGCCTTGATGGCTTCTTGTAGTTTGTCTGCCTGCTCGTCTGCATAGTCGAAGAGCATCGGTCTGATGGTTAACGGTGGTGTGGCTTTGAGCTGCACTCTGTACCTGTCTCGCAGTACTTGTGAGATGTAGTCGTCCTCCAGTATTCCCCAATTTTCCCAGTACCTTTCCAGACGTCCACCCACTGTCGATGGTTTTACAGGAACGGCTGGGGGTGGAAGACTCCTGTCGTTCCGAGCCCCAATTTCAGCCTCTAGCTCCTCTGGATCCTCTGGGAGAGCGTCCTCTCCCTGAGTTCCCTCTGTAGTTTCCGGATGGGCGACGTAAAGAGCCTTTTCCGCCTCTGAAGCTGGAGTATATCTTCTCCATAGCCTTCTGGATACCCGGAATATTTCAACTTGCTGTTATACTTCTGTGAAGTATGACGAATGACGTTGGCTAGAGTATCTATAGTACCAGACGACTGCCCCTGAAACGTACTCGACATAGCACTAGAATTATGTAGGACTAATGACGTTGGCTAGAGTATCTATAGACTTGATAATCATGACTTCCCTTGTATCATGAGTAGCTTCCTTAGCTGCTTTATCTATCCTGCCTCAGAAGATAGTCGGCGATGCCCACGGAACTCTAAGTAATGGTTGGGTAAATCTGTTGCTCCAGGAACAAGATGCCACTAGACCCTGTCTCCTCATCAAGGTGATACCTGTCGACGCTGAGGCCAAATGATCCGATATGAAGTATTGGTCCTTCTTCTGAGTGAGCAGAGCAGAGCAGATAGTATCATTCTATCTTCTTCTGAACTAGGGTTCTGGAACTTGTTAATCAATGCCTCATTGATAGCTCTGGACCTCGCTAATCCGAAGAAGGATCTTCTCGTCGCAGTATCAAGTTGGGCCAACTTTCTATCCTCCACCTCGTAAATCTTGTCCCGAGAGTCGTTGACTAATTTCATTTTGTCATCTAAGTCCGGCGCTCTCATAAAGGGGTCCATATGATGTAAAGGGAATTCATTCGCATTAAAAGATGGCAGATGTTGATTCTGGGATTTAGTAGCTTTCTCAAAAGCCCTGCGTAGGTAGGAAGGCACCTTGGATATTGGTTCAATAGGAGGAATAGTGACCGAGTCGAAGTCGTCGTTGAACATCTTATATGTGTAAACTTCATCCACATCCTTGGAAGGAGACTGTAAGTTCAATCCATTAGCTATCCAAGCTGTAACCTCCGATTCTGGGAAGACGTAGTCACCCTGTTCATCAGACAGTTCCTATTTCTGCAGTAGCAAACAACATACCGTTACCAGCTTGATCTCCTGATTTATCAACCGTGACTTGTGATGACTTCCTCACCCACCCAGTCTATGGCACGTCTATAGACATAAGACAAGTATTGATTAAATTGTAAATTTGATAGACCAATGCAATATGTACAACGCAAGGTGGAAGAACATGGCTTAATGCATGATGGGCATTGGGGGTGAGGATCAGCCACTGAAAGCTGGTACCTGCAAACACTGCAAGATTTCATGAAATGTAAACAAGTAACATAACGATGAAAATATGTCACAAATACAAATAATTTCTTCAATTTTTTTACATATAATACAAACTAGTTATAGCCAAATACCATATACAGCGTAATTTCAATAAATAGGATCTAAATATAAAGGATATATGCCGTATACGGGACTCCAGTGCTTGCCCAACCATCCGCTTGGGCGAAAAGGGAGAGCGTGACAAGTAAGGCTGGTCACATGACTGTTTGCACGGGAAAAGGGAGGTAACTTGTGGGTGAGTGTGCTTTTACGTCCTCTTTAGGGAACTACAAAGGATTCAAGTGTTCCACTACCATTCGCATAGAAGATGGAGATAAGCAAAAGATCATGAGTCAGGATAAGGAAAAATATATTACTTACCTAAATCTCATGTAAATGGCCAGAATCTTCTTGACATTGTCTGTTGTCAGTTCATATGTGTCATCAGGGTCATGTACAAAATCTACCCCTGGCATCACACTGCACAGCTTAGCTAATCTCTCAAGCCTGAAATTAGGGAAGAGGAAATGTTTTATTCACATACACTAAAGAAAGTATTTTGCACAAAATAGAACTTTAAATCAAAGGATCAATTACACAAAATAGTTTTCAAAGTCACATCATAAAATAATTCAATGCTTCAAGCTACCTTTGCATCTGATCAAAGTTCTCATTGATGTTGACCCTGTTTCTGATCAGTGCTTCCTGTAGTGGTTTTGGCACTAGATTTCTCTCCAGCACGCTCCCTGTCTGCTGATCCACCATGTTCCCTGTCTGGCGGTCGATGTTGAAGCCAAGGAAGGTCATGGTGTGGCCATCAGGGTTGAAGAAAATGTAGGGATGAGGGCTGGAAATCGTTTTAATATCTCTTTGTTAGATTACTTGAAATGCAACATAGGTGAAAAATATTACTTTGCTTTATGCAGTGAAGTGGACTGAAAACAGTAAAATATTTGAATTTGCAAGAATCTCTCAATCATCACAAAGATTTTCTTTAACATCTCCATCAAGACTCAAACACTTAAAGTACATAGTTGTGCATAAAATACTTTCAGACATTGAATATCAAACCTGCTTTCCCACGTCCGCTTCATCTGAAACTGTGCAAGATCTTCTGCTTGTCTCTCTTGTACAACCAGCTGGTCCAGAGGAGACTCCTCACTCATCACAAGTGACCTGGTAGCAAAGTCCTAGGGGCAAACAAAATTTTCTATTTTCAAACTTTTTGGTTTAAAAATGTGAATAAATGATTTGTTATGAATGCAAACAATCCTTAGTTTAGCAGCTGTTGTCTTTATGAGACATTTTGTTATCTTCACGTTGTCCACATTTCATCCAAAATGTAATCAGCTATAACCCAATAACAAAGCATATATCTACTGACTTGAATAGTGAATATCATGAAAAGTTGATAGTCAGATGCCCAACACAACCTCCCAAAATGTAATGAAGTAAGTATAAATGGAAGATCAGATCAGAAGAGTTTCATGGAAAAATCTTGAACATTTCTTGAGGTTGAGCAACATTTATGAGTCTGGTAAACTTGTCTAAAAGGAAATACTGCATAGTGAAGATTTGAAATATGAATTCATAATACAAGTCCACTTGTATAACATAAAACAATGAAATCAAAACAGGCTACAAAAGCATCTGACCAGAATCACAATGAAGGGCACCACTAAACATTTATGAGTGTTGGTCCAGAAACAAATAGTCACTTATAACACGATGTCTTTGTGTTTGTCAACACTTAATCTGAACACTTACTCTCGACATCTGGATAAGGAAGTGCAGCACCAACACTGGAAAGCCAGGCAGATCCTCCAAAATGAGGTCTGAACAGAAGATGGAGTTCTCAAAGTCAACCAGCTGAGTATTCAGGAACCATACAAAGTTGTGGAGCTCAGACCAGGATGGATCTCGTACTCCACAGTGTCTGAAGTTCAAAATGATTGCAAAGTGTATTCTGTTACTGTAAAAGAACTATACAGACAGTAACACTTTCTTAAAAATCATATTCCTGTTGCTGATAATATAATAATCACAAGTTTTAACACTGAGATGATATCAACAATAGCAACAGAAGACAGTATTGGCACTCACTGCAGAAGTACACTGAGACATTCTTGATGTGATCCTTCTGGTGCAGCTGGGTTGATTTCAGCAAGATTGCCTTTGATGTTCAATCTCTTGAGATACTGGAATGGGCGCTGGTAAACTTGGCTTTGATACTCTATGTCATCAAAGAGCCTGTCATTATCAGAGTAATCTGAAGAAAATAGCACATAAAAAATAGTTTAAAAACATTATTTAAAATGACTCTTTTACACAAAAAGTGAATTTACTTAACAACAAAATAATCATGAAATGCACACGGATGTCAGTTTTGTCTGAAGAAAATATTCCAAGACATGAATAAGGAAGTCAAAATGACTCTCAGAACAAGATTTTACAGCAGCTGTGACTTCATCCACTACTTTCAGTACAGTAAATTCTGGTAATAATAGTCAATAACAATCTTCCGAAATGGATGATCAAGCATTGGCTAGTTGGCAGAATTACTTCACACAGTCTGGAATGTCTGACCTTCAGGCTTTTGGTCTGTGGTAAGGATTTGCTGACTGTCTTGAGGAGACCAGCAGAAAACATCAGGCAGGACCTCCAGAATGGAATGAATCAAACGCTGACTGGCTCTCTGGAGACAAAACAATTCTTATTTATGCATGTCTCCAATAATACAACTGATCACATAGAGGGTTGTCACTCTCCAGATATTAATGGACTGCTCATCCCGTCCTGCCTGACATCTGTGATGGCGATACCAGATATACATTATTACATACATGCTTTTACACTCCAGATATTAACAGATACATACCATTGTCTGTCTGACATCTGTGATGGGGATGGTCTCCACGAGATACACTTTTTACATACAGACTTTCACTCTCCAGATATTGACAGATACATACCCTGTCCTGCCTGACATCTGTGATGGGAATGGTCTCCACGAGATACAGGTCCAGGGGAGACTTCAGCCAGACATGCCCCATGTTGTTGCTGATGCAGCCCAGAACCAACAGGTTGAAGAGGAGATAGTCAACGCCTTCCTGAACCTGCCACAGTAACCATCACATGGTTTAATCTGTTCATTTCATTCAATGCATATATATTTGGGTCTTCTAGTTGGCAAATGTGCTCAAAGATACAGGACTCTACAAAGGTGAATGTAGCTAACCTCATATGAAATGTCCAAGTGGAATATTCTAGGCTGGACTTGTCCAGGCTGCAGCGTATGATCCAGCAGTTTCTCTGCCACAGTAGTTGTGGACACACTTTTCTCATACAGATGTATGGACACTGATGTAGCAGGGACTCTGGGGTTCAGACGTTGCAGTGCCTCAACTTGACGCTTCTTGTATAAGGTCTTCCCAACACCAGCTCTTTTGGACTTGATCACTCGCACTGTGGAACTGCAAAATATTAAATATTGCAACTAAAACATACTTCCGTAACAAATAATAATTACCCTGCAATCAAATGTTTCTGAGAATTTTAAGCTGAAAGCAGGTTTTAATTGTTTTCTTTGAAATCCTACACCACTGTTTACCCCAACAAAACTCTTACCTATCAAAATCTAATCCAGAGGCTGATGTCATTCCTTGTTTCTGATACTTCTGTGAAAACTTCAACAGCAGGTATTGCCTGATATCTTCTAAGTGTTGCAATGGAGGTGGTGGGCACCTCTGTCTTTCAAGAGCTGCCACAATTCTTGCTTTGAACTCATTTTCAGTTGAGCACAAAATCACAAGCTGATAGTTAGGACCTTAAAAACATAAAATAGCATTTGGTAAAAACAGACCAATCACAGAATTGGAAATTTTACTATAAATTGTATATTTATATACTTATCTTATCTCACGGTATGCACCTCTCTTCTTCTTCTATGACCATGTGTGGAAACGTGCTGTAGGCTAAGTTGAATCAAAAGCTTCCTGGTCCGATAATAGCACCTGTCAATCATCTCATTAAGCGCGCAGATCACTCAGATGATCACGTTGCGCTCTGTGCCTGTCATTCTCGCCTTGGAGCTTCCAGTAATCTGTGATATGGGGCAGGTCGGGTGGGTATACATCGCGTGAGATAGGATAAGTATATAAATATACAATTTATAGAAAAATAAATTTTTAAACTTATCCTATCTCACGGTATGCATTATTCCACGGTTGGCTTGTGGGCTGCAGATTACCCTGTGTCAACTCTACAACCGTGAGGTTGCATAACACAAGGAGGCCAGGAGAAAGCACCAACTCCCGATATGCTAACTCTGAACTTGTGATGGGTTGCTTCAGATAACCCCTTAAGCTTACACTAGCTAAACTCTAGGGAGTGGGCGGTCCTGAATTAAGGTGGTTTTCAGCCGCAACTTTTGACAAGCAAAAGGACGCAGTTTGGCAAGTGGACCCTGCCTCCCCGCGATTTATCAAGTGACCCCAGTGAATTCAAGTCGAAAAGACCTTAATCTGGACAGTCCCTGCTTCGAAACTACCCCCAACAGACAGATGCTGGAAGGCGGTGAAAGAGGGAATAGTTCGGTTGCTCAACTTGTTTAACGTTCAGTACCAATCCCCCTAACTTACCAAAGGTGAGGAAGGACTTAGGAGCGGAACGCTTCAAAAACCACGCAGGTAATCGAAAATCAACGCTTCACTGACGTAATTGGTCAGAGCGTAGAGGTCAGTAAGCGGCATGTCAACCACCTCTGCATGTAGCACAAGACTGGCCTCTCAGTCTATTCAGTCATGGCTATGACAGTGCAGCCACGCCCTAGTTCCCTAGGTGAGATGGTCTAAGCCCAAGGTCAAAAAGGTACAAAGACAAAGATGACATAGAGATCTTTATTAATGTACAGAAGCAAAACCGACACGCAGAAGGACTGCCTGTCACCTGCGAGCGCGGGTCGATGACAGCTGTTGAGCTAGGACCAGAGGACCAAACTGGTGTGGGCCCTCCACGTCCATGACCGAGAGAGATCGTGAAGATAGTGTGAGGCGAAAAGGTACCCGACTTCCAAAAACATCATTCCATGATTGCCTGGAGGGAACAGTTCCTATGAAGCGCCATGGTGGAAGCTTGGGCCAGAGTTTCATGAGGATTCGCTGTCGAATGTGGAGGAAGGTCGGCATAGGCATAGGCACACAGGATAGTGGATCTCAACCAAAACGCCAAAGTGGTGCGCGCGACTTCCGAGGTGGAGGCAGCAGACAATGGGATGAAAAGTCTCTTGCGCAACCTGCATCGGTCCTTAGAGGCAGCTAAGTTGATCCGCAATGCCCGGACTGGGCACAGGGAAAGATCTTCTGTGTCATCAGGACCCAAGATAGTGGACAGCAGTGGAATCGTGTCCGGCTGTCCTGGTAGTTGGTTCTTGGCGACGAAATCCCACCGCAAACCAAGAAAGACTTTAGCATGTCTTGACCTCTCAAACCGCACCCGGGAGACGTTGAGGGCATGTAACTCTGAAATGCGGCAGCAGTGGCCAAAGCCAAGAGGAAGAAAGTCTTAAAAGTGATCTTCTCAAAGTCTTTTCCCTCCAAGGGTTTGTAAGCCGCTGATGTAAGATGATTAAGCACAACGGAAAGGTCCCAAGATGGTGGTCGGAACTTCCGGGATTGGTCAGCAAGTCTATAAGATCTGAGGAAAGACTGGAGCTCAGGAACAGTCGACACCTTCACACCTGTGGCTGGTGCAATAACGGTGTTAAGAGCAGCCAGGTACCGGTAGGTAGACAATGTAGAACCCTTAAGCTTCCTGGAGGTTTGAAGATGTTGGAGGTGCTGACATAAAGCTGAGGCTGGCATGGGTGTATGACCTGGCAAAGGCAGCAACGTTGAACCAATAGAAAGCGGCACACTGGAAGACTTTGGTACACTGGAAGTAAATGTCACACTGGCAACAAGTGACGCTCTGACACCAGGACCAAGCAACATATTGGAAGCAGGAGGCGCTCTGACAGTAAACGCCGAAGCGGAAACAAGTGGTGCATTGGAAACAAGTGGAGTTCCGACAGTAAGCGCCGAACCAGGAGCGAGTGAGGCATAGGAGGCAAGTGACGTACCGACAGAAAGCGCCGAACCGGGAGCAAGTGGCGCTCTGCCAGCAAGCATCTAACCGGGAGCAAGCGGCGCTGTCATAGTAAGCGCCGAATCGGGAGCAAGCGGCGATCTGGTAGCAAGCGCTGAACCAGGAGTAAAGGGCACATTGGCAGCAAGTGGCGCTCTGACAGTAAGCGCTGAACCGGGAGCAAGTGGCGCATTGAAAGTATTCGTCACTTTGGAGGTAAGCGGTGCACTGGAAAGGGGGGTTTTGATCCATAAACAGATAGGAAGGCATATGAGGCAGATGTAGAAAGCGCCACACTGGAACTCAACGTCATACTTGTAGACATCACAGGAGGGTATTAGAGCGCCGAACCGTGACAAAGCGCTGAACTGGAGACAAGCGTAGAGCCTATCACCGTGCAGGAAAGCGCCGAACCGAACATATCCGCCCCTTCAGAGAGAAGGCTGGCCATCAAACCAAGCTGGAAACAGTCGGCGTAGGATCACCAAGGTTCTGAGAAATCGTCACCAGGGTAGACGGATAAGACGATCTTAAATCACAATAGGACTGGACACCTGTGGACGAAATAAACGATGGAGATCCTCACTCAGATAGGAATCGGAAGCCTCACATAAAAATTCTTCATTTGGTGACAGGGACTTTGTACGATGTTTAGATTTTGAGCGTTTAGAAGAGGAAGGACCCTCCAAAGGTTTATGTCGATCACTGTCAGACAAACGTCAAGAAGCCACCTGGTGATATTCCGAAAAGGCATCATCATCAAGTTGAGCACAGTAGGTACACCGGTGTGCCCAATCGCAACATCCCAAACAATCCACACACACGTATGTGGGTCCGCAGCAGAAAAGTTACTATTACCCTTGTCGCAATGTTTAAGTTTAGTAGAAGCACTGCGACGAGATTTACCCATATTGAACACAGTCAAAATCTCACTAAGAATCAGCACACGACGTAGCAACAAGAAAGAGAATGACAGGCACAGAACGTCACGTGATCATCTGAGCAATCTGCACGCTTATTGAGATGATTGACAGGTCTGCTATCGAGTGGGGGCAGAGGTCAGGTGGTCAGATGCCAGGAAGCTTTCGATTCAACTTAGCCTACAGCATGTTTCCACACATGGTCGTAGAAGAAGAAGAGAGGAGCATACCCTGAGATAGGATAAGTTTAAAAATTGATACTTTTGGAAAATAAAACCACATATTGTTCCACTGATATCAAGTACAAATCAAATGCACTTCAGAAAGCTTATATTCATCACCATGTCTTCAAAAGTTAAAAAGAATAAAAGCTGTGTTTTAACATGATATCATTTTCTAGGCCAATTTGTTTGGAAATATACAGCTCAAACCAAAAGCAAGCAAAATCTTACATACTATTTTCTGCCATCTGCCTATTAATAAGAGAAGTGATGAAAATGCTGTCAATGTACTTTATTTTGCAAAATATGTATGTAATTATGTACCTTCTATTCTGTTTGCATACTCTTTAAGCTTTTTCTCAGCCCTCTCCTCAATCTCATACTGCAGCAAATCAGCATTGGCCATTGCATACAACTTGCCAGGGTTGCTAAAGAAAGCTCGTCGAAGGAAGATGTCAACCTAAAAGCATAATCATAATTATCTGACTCATACAAGATGACAACTAACATCATTTCAAATTTATAATTTTAGGATTGAAATTGATGACTACACTGTCAAATGACACAACAGTGATAATGGTAATGAGGGATGTAATTCTAGGTATTTATTGCATAGGTACCAAAGCTTATTTAAATTTACAAGTAAATATTGAACGTTAGCCAATTTACAATTATCAAAATTTAAATAATTTGTCATATCATAGACTCACATCATATCAGTAATTGGTCAAGTGGATTAAGGGCAGACACTGGAGCTATTGCTATAGTACACACTGTTGCTGTAGCTACTTCTACATATTTACAAACTGATCGATAAACATTGTTGCCATTGGTAAATTTACCTGGTCAAATGTAGTTTGTGGAGAGCACAGAAGGACCTCATCAGGATTAGGCAGTGGCTGATCCTCTGAGTGTTTGTACATGTATACAACAGCATTCAGCATGTCAGCTACAAAATAAAAGTTACGGAATAAAAAAAAATGTGAAGCATAAGTATCAAATTGAGTGATAGTAAATTTTATGTCACATCAAGAATATTTGACCTAACTGATGTCTATTTATTTGAACAGATGAGTGCATCCACCTTTGTTACTGCAATATATTAGATATTAATCAATAAAATAGACATTAGTAGCCCTATCTCACCTTGAGGGCAGACAATCAAGTTAGAAATTCCTGGTTTTAGTGGTGGTGGGATAGTCCGCTCAAAGGTTCGATGATCTGGAACAAATGTTACATATTTACGAAGGAAGCCATCAAAATCATTGTAACATCCCCATTCAATAACATGTATGTAACAGCACTTCAGGAATAGCTAAATAATCTCATGCACAGAGATTTTTCATCAAGATACCTACATCTGCTTGGACCATTTGTCACAGGGACAATGTCATAGAAATTGGGAATCAGTTATTCTAGTGTGATCAAGGCATTAAATAACTAAATCCTAGAAAATCAATAGAACATGTGAATCATATGGGAAAGAGTACTTGTTAAATCACAGCTGGATACAGTAAAAAGTCATAATTGTTCGGATTTTTTTGGTATAATTCTCAGCTTTATTTACATGTGTTTAAATATTGAAATCAATACATTTGTTGACCCAGTTGTCTGATGATGCTACTCATAAGGTAATATAAAGTCAAAGTCATTACATTTGTATTATTAATGTCAACAAAATACCATACATATATTATGAACATCACTTGCTTAAATTCATATCTGTTTATGAATTGTATGATCAAGGCACCTGTTTCAGCCAGCTGCCTGAGGATGATGCCAAGATGTTCCAGACTGAGATAATCTGCTACACTTGATGATATAGCTTCCAGGAACTTGGTCCACACTGATCTCAAGTTGGAGGTCAAAGTTGCAACAGTTGTTATATTCCTGAAACATTTTTAATTTTGCTACATTATGACACTAAATGCCTTTCAGAAAGTGTGCAAATGTACCAAATGCTTCATTTTGGGATTTCACTTTCTTAGTTCAAATTCTAGTACATTTTAGGTTGAATTGAGCAATTTCTAAAAAGCATTGAGCATTTAATGGCTTTTGGCCATAGAAGCTGTGCCATTTACACACATCAGATGGGCACACAATTATGTGATCTAGATGTCAGAATTTCATATTTTGTAGAAGCTTTGGTGGCTGTGTGGGTCAGACCACTGACTGTGTGCTTGTCATTGGATGCCTCACTTTCTGAGTAAGCATTTGAATGACTCAGACCAAAGAAGTACTAGAATTTGTACTTTACAAGAAGTATAATCCCAAATATATCATTTGTTATGTTAGGTAAAGCCAATCTGATTAAATGTATATACTTTTAAATAAGTGTTAATGTGTATATCTCTTATTACCTTCACAATGAGCATACCATTATAACAGATACCAAATATTTTTGTGCACGTACGTTTTGACCAAAATTAACAAAAACAAGAAAAACAATCAATTCATTAAGGAGGAAGCAGGATGAGGGCCTCTAGGGCCCATTAGAACTTGTTAAATTTCAAAGGTAACAATAACTTGTAAATATTGTTACAAATTGTTTTAGATATGTTATAATAGAGTACCACTAGAGCTGTAATGATATGGTGAGGCCACAATATATGCATCCAAATAATATGGTTGACATACAATCCATATCCCAATACAGTACTTAATTTTGGATGATCATATTGTCTCATGAGCCTCATATTGCAATACAATACTGTATTGCTGTAGCGTTATACAACTAATGAACTAATGAACACCAGCCTTTCCACATTTTAATTCGGTCAAGTGAGACCAAAATGAGCGAAAAAGGCTATATTTTTCCAACTTTATCAGAAATTCTAAGCTGAACCAGGCTATGACTGAAGTAGAATTTTGTACTATAGCTTTGATTTAATCAACCTCTCTCCTTGAAATTCACCCTGCATGAAAGAATTTTGTATAAAAATATTAGAACAATACTTTCAAATATCTCTTTAATCAGTCTTTATGACATATTTAAACCATATTTTATGACAACCAGTTTAACCATGCATGAGTTAAAATGAAGAATATTTAGTCCTCCTTTACATAAATACCCCTTTAACAGGATTTGCTTATTTCTTACATTATTTGCAGATCCTGTGAAGACCTTAATGGGCATCCATCACACCCTGTCCTTCCTACATTATACAAGACTGTTTGCTTTGATCTTCATGATAAAAAACAATGACAATCCTTTTACCTATGTACCCCACAACAAACAAACGTCTTTTGGAAGGCAACAAGTTCTATCAAAATACAAACATAGAACAACTCACTTATTGCTTGAAGAAATACTCCTGACCCAAGACACAGCACTGGAGGAAACAGACTCTCCACCAGAGTGCCAGCCACCAAAGATCTGTCTTGGCTGATCCACTGATGATTCAGTCATAGCTGTCTCCTCCTCAAGAATATCTTCTTCCTGGTGCTCCATACACCACACAATACCTGCAGGAACAGGAATTAAAATGAACTGTCATGTTGACTGACAGCATCCAAGAAGTATATAACAGATTCCATTATGATTACTTAATACAGTCAATTCAAAATACACTGAATTCAAATCCAAGGTCTCTAATTAACCCATTTTTTAGCTGAAGTCTATGTACTTTACTGGGCCATAGATTCAAGATCATACTGAAAGTAAATGGCCGGACTTGTTATTAGTTGCTGGTTGTGTTAACATTTTCACTTCATGTATAGTAAAATAAACTATTGAGTTACACATGTAATAATAATGTTGTATACTTCACTTGGAAGAAAGTTTGAGTATCTCTCAAGATACAATTTTGATGTCCAATTTAAAAAGATAAGAATATATTCTCAGCGAGCAATTCAAGTTACATGACCTTGCTAATTTATTCTGCAAGATACCCCTGAAGTTCCGGGTTAGAATTGATCTTCAGTAACCCATGCTTGTCAAAATAACCGATGTACGGATAATACTCCTAGGCCAAATGTAGAGATAACATCATTATCAGGCAATATGATACACCAGGCCTTATCACCCATACTGCATATCCTGATCATGTTGAACACCAGTGCTTGTCACCGTTCATTAAACCATGCGGTTGGTCTATGAACATGTGGACAGTTTCAACAGTGGGGTAATCCTTGTTTGTTTTCAGCAATCTGATACATTCTGTGTCTAGTTCCACATTGACAAGAATCTCTGGAGGGTGGGAGTTGTCATACCAATTACTGGATAACGCTTTTACTGCTGCTGAGAGATCCTAAAAGATAGGAACTTTTCTAACATTTGGCCTAGGACTAATAAGGTCCAGGGCTGGCTTGGTTGACACATGTCATCGTGTCTCAATTGCTTAGATCGATGTTCCTGCTGTTTATCAATGAATTGTCTGGTCCAGACTCGTTTATTTACAGACTGCTGCCATATAGATGGAATATTGCTGAGTGCATGATAAAACTAAACTCACTCACTACGCTGCAAGATGTTTAGGGCCAAACCAAAATTTAAACAACATCTACAATACTTTGACAAAAACTAAAACTGGCCATGAGGGTTGAACCTGAATCCAAAATAAAACTTAAAACATAAGTAACTTGATATGATTGAATGTTTTCTGAACAAAATCACACAAGTTAATAGATATTCTAACAGACTATCTCCAAATATATTTTCCTTTCTGTTGTATTAGAGTATGCTCAAGAGTCCTAATCTAAAAGTCGAAATATAAGGCCAAAGTTACCACTGTCAATATCATCAGGTCCATTGGCCTCTAAAGCAAGTCTTGCCAATTTCTCCGAGAAGTTCGTTTCCAGCATGGCATTAATGAAGGCTTGTTTGGGATCAGATTCTTCAAGAGGCTCATCAAGTTCCATTACTGTTTCTGTTTCTTCCTCCTTGGCAAATACTAAATCTCGAGCCTCCTGCATTGCATTGGTGAGATCTGCTTGTGTACAATCAGGCTTGATCAGAGACAACATTGAGTACACACGAATAGAAGGTTCCTCATCTGTGCCCAGTTTAATGAGTTCTCTCTGAAGGAACACCAGCTGCTCAATGGTGTAGAAGTTCAGCTCCAAGTATTCATCTCTTTTGTCACTCACATAGTTCATCCATTCATCATGGAAGTCCTCAAACTCATTTGCAAGAGCATGGATGAAGACCTCAACACCTTCGTTCCCTCGATGTCCCTTCAAGGTTTCAAGATTGTCCCCATGACCAAATTCCAAAAAATGTGCATGCTTTCCTGTCGTCTGCACAAAGGAATTTTCCCTTCCAACAGTTGAACAAGACACATCCATCAGTACAAAGTTTGATATAGGATTTGGCTAGACGCACGATTCCATCAAGGACCTAAACAAAAGTTAATAATTTTACATGCATAAATGGCAAGAATTACTACTACATACATAGTTATGTCTAGAAATACTAAGAGTAGACATATAAAGTATAAAACTAAGGTATGAACAATTCATCTTTTCTGTCTTTCCCATTTAGAACAAAAAATGAAAAGTATTTTGTTGTGGTTCACAGATTCTTTTAAAAACGTGTAGAAACTTCATTTTACTACAGTTGGAAATGATTGTTTCTTTCTATTAATGTTACAGTGAGCTTGACATTTAATACAGCAAATGTTAAAATATATCCCTAAAGAAACAAACATAGAGTATATCATGATATCTTCAACTTACCTCCTGAGATTAGGTTGTTAATTATTAAACTTTATTTGAGAATATTACCTACATTGTGATTAGAGGTTTAATGAAGACTTTTCCTAAAGCAATGCATCATAACAATAGTTCAAACGACACTTTAATTCAAATGAGCTCAAAGAAAATTGGCTGTCAAATCCTGAGGTACAAATTGAATTGTGGTAGCTATCTGGGAATTCATTGAGTGTTGATTTAGAAACAAATATCCCCAAACAAAAGCAAACGGTCATTCAAGAAGAACTTGCCATAATAAAGTGGTCCACATTTTCATTGCCCTTTTCTGCCTGCCCAGCTACCAGCATGAGCCTGCTCTGAAGATCCACCAACTGGCCGTAGCTGTATTTTCGGGAAGGGTTGTCTTCTGACTCTTGTGACACATGTAGGCTTATCACATTGTTCAGAATCTGTTGAATATAGTACAAATGTCTGAATGAAAGCATGTTCAGAGAGTAATACTTTCTGCAGAAAACACTGCATACATGTTTTTGGAAATGAACCCAACAATTGTTTCTGTTAACAGCCATACCATGTCAGAAACTGTTTCAAGGTTGTTTAGGTTTCCAATCCTGTATAATCCTCTTGAGTTAATCATTGAAGCCTGTGTGAGCGCTGTTACTTCCACAGAGCCGTGTGACTGTTTTACTTCTTTCAGCCAGCGTAGATGACGAGATGTGTCAATCTAATTCAAAAGACATTGTGATGATGGTTAACATTAAAGTCGAGGTTATTTTTGTGATCTAACTCAAGTATGATTACATCATTGTTCATATATTCTTATAAATAAATATTAAAGAATATGTTCCAACTGAAAAACAAAATTTGTTCAATTCTAAGTCACATTATGAACATCAAAGCATGAATCAATTTAATGCTGCCTTATTATTGATTCACTATATGATCTCAAGTATACCAGTTTTTCAGGAAGTTTCTGATCTGAATTGAGCTCCTGCCAGACAAGTTCACAGTTCTTGAGGAAAGTGCCATAGTCTGTATTCTGTGGTGTGTTGAAAATCAGCGGAGCATATCCAGTAGTAGCAGAGTGAAAACAGTTGACTTTATGAATCTCCATTGGTTCCTCTCCAGCTGAGATGAACGCCAGGTCCACAAACACCTTTAGTTCCTTTAGGCCATCTTATGAAGAGAAATTGCATTAATGGATGTAAGTACTAGTAGACCACATGAACATTAAAAGAAGTAATTGCTCTTAATGTTTCCATACTTGATATAAAAGCAACAGGCTTCAATGATTTTGTTTTACCAAAATGCACTTACTAACAATCCACAAAAGTATATCCAAAGAAATTTATACAAATGTTATCATTCTAAAATCAATGTACTGTAGCTCTTTATATGCAAGCTTGAACATTTCTACCAATGCATGTATTCAAACAGAACTAGTGACACTTGATCATGTGTCCATCTCTGTGTGCATAAATTTGAACAAGCTATATTTTGGTGTAACTGATGTAGGTCTACAGACATTCAGTTCATTCACACACATTACATTAAGATCATTCAGAAACTGTTAGAAATCATTATTAAACAAGGTACCTTTCATGGAATCTCTGAGCCAGTCTATCAGCTGTTTACTATCTTTGAATGCCTTGATACATGCCTGCTTCAATTCATTATTCAGTCCCTCCAGTACATCACAGGTTTCCAGGACAGATGCATCCATGGTGCTCATGGGCTGCTCACGACTGCTTCCCTGGGAAGTATTATGGGAAGGAATATTCTCACTTTTTCTTTTGTTATTGGAATTATCAACTAGGGTAATTAAATAATATTATGAGGAAGAAATCAAATCTTTTAAAAGTACCAAAATGCAAACCTGATAATACCTAAATCACCAAAATTAACTCTGATACAAAAAGGAATATGAAATACGTCCAAAGTATGAGGTATTCTCACCTTAGAAGTTGCTAAACATCATACAAGTTTTGTGTTCAGTTTGGTTCTTCTTGACAGACATTTAGGTGAGGTGAGGTGAGGTGAGATGAGGTGAAATGGGGTTTAACATTGTACTTGAGAAAATTTCATTCAGATGACGATGTGCATGCGTGTGTATGTGTGGCTGCTTGTACTAGCCCAGACTTAAGCTGGGTTTTTTTAGTGCTAGCTCACTGAGGTACCATACCACAGTTATGAATGAATACCCCACACATTATACTGACTCCTGTACCCATTAATGCGAAGTGCCAGGCAGGGACCAACAAGTACCATACTTCATAGCCACATATTGATGCGGCCGGGGACCGAACCCGCAACTGTCTGCTCTCCAGGCAGACGCTCTAACCAATACTCCACAGAGGAGGTTACAGACATTTAGTAAACTTAGCAATATCACTGGATTTAATAAAGGGCAAGTTTACATCAAAATACATTCAAAATGTTTTTTTGCCTTGCACATTTTCAACATGAAAAGTATTTATCTAGTAGTTTCATTCAAATTCTACACACAGTGTAACCAAATTGTTATAAAATTAAACTGAGTCCCAATGATTTCCCCAAATTGGATATGTACTTGATCTACATTGTTATCAGTGAATGTGTCCGAGTTTGCGACTTTTCTACATAACTTGTAAAACATATGTCCCTCCTCTTCAACCCACACTTCCAGGACAAAACAATATCCAAATACAACATGAATATAAATGCACAGTCTTGTATTCTGTGGGAAATTCCCTCTTGGCCTTTGCTCTACATTAACATAGAAAGCTACAAATGTAAGAAAAATGAATACCAACCAGTAATTTGACTGCTTCCACAGGAGTAAAGTCTCCAGAAATGTCATAGACATTTTTAATGTCCAGTATGATATCTGCAGCCTTCTGGCAACCCTGCAACACTTCATAACATTTAAGTTGCAGCACTCTTTGATCAATCCAAGATGTAGATTCTCCCTCTGCACACATTAATCTGAACTCTCTTTTGATCTTTACATTGTCTCTCTGAAACATGCTGACATGTTTTTGGACATATTGGAATGTTGCAGAGCCATCAATTATTTGAGCACAAAGGGACAACCAGGCTGTTTTGACAGGACTCCCAAACTGTAAGTATTGCAGTGTTCAATTCTGTCTCACTTGGAATGGCTCCTGCTTTCTTTTCCCAGAGCTTTTGAAATACCACACTTTGCTTTAATTTTTCAAGCTCAGGAACAATTTCTATAACTTCATCTTGAATGTCAAAAATGCAAAGTTTTGGCTGGTAATTTCCTAAGCTGCCAGGAGACTTATCCAAATGTAGAGGATGGCATATTTCTCTTATTCTTCCTTCCTCAATCATCTTGTCCACTTGAGAAGTTCTTTCAAACAATGCATTAGAGTTCACTGAAAAAGAGAACATGCTTGTGACTGTGATTAGATTTAATTTTGAAAATACAAAATCTATCTATGTACCTGCTTGGTTAATAATAATTTAACATATGATTTATGAGACACAGTTTATGATTTCCCTGTTCAGAAGAATTAATCTGTCCTTAATTTTGAATCAAGTGTTGGATGACTGACATGATTGATCATAATAATAATACTAATAAGTTGCCTTAAATGTTATTCTTCTAGGAAAATGAAGAATTCTTATAAAATAAGACAATTTAAGAACATGGCAGAAAGAAATCGTGACATCATTTCGAGAGAGAGAGAGAAATAAAATCATGAAATGAGGTTAGTAAAAACTATTGTTTGAGGGCTTGACAATTAACAATAATAAACAGGTAAACAGGCATGTTTGAGTAAGTGAATGTTTTGTCTTTGCACCAATACACACCATTCTGTATATGAACACACATGACCAAAAGTGTTTTCACTTTTTGATTGAGTTGTTCACAAGACTTTAGCTCTTTTTCTCTGGCCTCAAGGATAAACTTGAGGCGCTCCGTTGCAGCTGACTTATCTTCTTCTTTGCTGGAAAAGTTTGTTTCTACAGCTGTCCAAAGGCACAGAAAGTGTTCGGAATCTGTGAGAATCAGCCTCAGTTGTGGGATTGGAATACTGCCATCACAGATATCAGTTTTTACACTCTCCAGCAGGGATGCAGCCTGCATCAGATGTTCTATACATTCTTCAGTCAAGAATTTACTTGAATTGTCTACTCCATCTGCAGAACAAAAATCCAAAAGTAGGAAAAACATACAACTTTTGTAATTGCTTTATAGAGGAAGAAATCTTTTCATTAGTCTGACTTTATGTTCCTGTGTAACTGCAGTACAATCATCCAAATGAGGAATGTTTAGTCTACCTATATGATTAGCTTGAATAAAATGCGCAATGGTTATAACTACTTTTGTCTACAAAAAGTCTAACAAGTCTTTTGGAATCAATTCTCCTGATTAACAATGTAATTTTCTGACTAAAATTGATATTTTATATTTATCCTGACTCATATTTGGTTGTCTCCTTCTCCTTGCGAATGATAGTGGAACACTTGAATCCCTTTTGAAGCTCCCTTAAAAAAAGCGGACGTAAAATCCTCACTCACCCACGAGTAGCCTCCCTTTGCCTTTTGGCGCCCTTTCCTGTCACATGATCGGCCATGCTTGTCACTCTCTCTGTACGTGAGCCCGACACCCAGATTTACAGGGAAATCCAGAGTGCCATGAGGGGAGGTTGGGAGGGCTGACCTCATGAGTCATGATAAGTATAAAATATCAATTTTAGTCAGAAAATTACATATTTTTCCTTATCCTGACTCATGCTATTTGCTTGTAGAATCCATCGGAAATGGTGGTGGGTCAGGCCACTTTCTGGATTCACTGGCTGTTGATTTACGTCCTGCATACCCCCCCATGGGAACTTATGATGGCACTTGTGTTGATCCTTTTTCTTCCAGCTTCTTCTGACGAGTCTGGGGGGACCACAACTTGTCAGATTTCTTCCGGAACTTCTCCTGACATTATGTGTGGATTCAATGCAACTCCATCTCTTGATGCTCGCATCAAGTGGAGAAGCGACCCTTCTTCATGTACGAGTAAGTCCTTACAAGTACAGGGTCTATCACTCATGCTAGTCTGTCTTAGACGTGCACATGGACTTAAGCTCTTGCTCTCCAGAGCGTTGGCTTTCACAAGTAACGTGATAAAAGGGTGAGATTCATCTCAGCGCCTTTGTGGAACTGTCAATTGTTGGGCTACAACAAGAGGCCCAAATTGGTGAATGCCTGAGACGTCCTCGGTGGCGATGTCTCTGAGGTAGTGGTTGGCAAACACCGTCTCCGACTTCCAAAAGCAGCCCTCCATTATCGTAGAGATGGAGCACTTCCCATGCAGATCGAGTGTTGATGCCAGAGCTCTGACTTCGTGAGGGTTCGAGGCTCGTGGAGGCTCAAGTCCTGCTGCTTTGTAGTCCCTTAAGATCACGGCTCTTATCCAAATCGATATCATTGTCCGTGAGACCTCTGTAGGTGTCTCCGTAAATAAGGGGATGAAAAGGCGCTTGAATTTTCGTCTCTCGTCTTAGTCCTTTTGTAGGTAGTCTTTTAATGCTCTGACGGGCCATAAGGATAGATCCTGCTTATCCTGTGGCCCAAGGACTGTAGAGAGTGCTGGGATGTGGAACTGTCTGTCAGGTTGAACGGGCAGCTGGTTCTTTGTTATGAAATCCCATCTCAGTCCAAGATGTACGATGTCACGATGGCTTGACTCAAATCGTGTTCATTCGAAGTCCAGAGCATGTATCTCCGACATCCGTGCTGCTGTTGCCAAGGTGATCAGGAACAGAGTTTTTTGCGTTAAAAACTCGAAGGATGTCCGTTCTAGAGGCTCGTAGGCATCACCCGTGAGATGCTGCAAGACTACGTTGAGATCCCAAGCAGGAGCTTTGAATTTTCTTTGTTGGTCTTCCAACTTGAACGAGCGCAGTAGTGCCAGTATCTCTGGTACCTTTGTCAGCTTGACACCCGTCTTCATGGTGATAACCGTGCTGAGGGCCGCTAGGTATGTAGAGAGTGTTGAACCTTTTAACCGTCTTGTCTGTCGTAGATGACACAAGTATTCCGCCACTTGAGGATGTGTTGCTTTCACCGCAGTGAAGCCCTTCCTCGATGCATACTGCTCAAATCTCTGCCACTTGTCATCATACAAGATGCGGGTTGATCTGCGTAGAGCTAATGTCACTGCTTTCACTGCTCTGGTGGAATACCCTCTTTTCTTCAAGCAAGCCTTGATACGCTCCATGCGTGTAACTGGAACACTGTGGGATTCCCGTGAGCTTGTTTGGTGTGTGGATGGACGAGCTGGTTTTGCCACTCAGGATTAGTGTCAGGGTTGGACTTCTGAGTTCTTGCATGAGGACGGGAAACCATACCCTCGCTGGCCAATAGGGCGTGACCAAAATCAGTTGCAGCGTCTTCGTCTGCTTGATTTTCTGTAACAACTGTGGTAGTAAAGCTGGGGATGGAAACGCGTAAGCCCAAGAGATGCTTAGAGCATCTGTCGTCCATGCTTGCGGTTCGGGAATCGGAGAGACGAATGTTGGTAGTTGTTTGTTGTACTTCATTGCAAACAGGTCTATCAGCGGAGATCCTATCGTCTGTATGATGCATCGAAATGCTTCTGGATGTAACATCCATTCCGTCGGGGATGGTTGTAGTGGACGAGATAAGGCGCCTGCTATGACATTCTTGGCCCCAGGAATGTGGCATTCCTTTATGTAGATGTTCAGGTTGTCGACGACACTGAACAGATGAAAGCTGAGATCTAGAAGATTGGTTGATCTTGTTGATGCTTGCCTGTTGATGTAGAACGCTACTGTGGAGTTGTCCGTATGGATCATCAGCCGTGCGTTCCTTAGTACGCTTGACCAGTGTAGTAAGGCATGGTTTACTGCTTTCATCTCTAACATGTTGATGTGCATACTCTGATCCTGAGTTGACCACTTCCCTGCTGCCACTTCATTGTCGAGGTGAGCACCCCATCCTTGAGGCGATGCATCCACGTAGAGATGAGTGCTGCTAGCCGGTTCTAATAAAAAGGTTCCTCCGCAGACAATTGACTTCCGAGTCCACCATAGGAGATGCGGTTTCAGTCTGTCCGGTAGTACGAAGGGGTCCGGACTGTCGAGAGGGGCGTTCACAAATCTCTGTAGTGGGCGCAGTTGTAGTCTCCCTCTGTGAGTCAAGTCTTGAGCTGAGGTGAGAAGACCGAGTAGGCTCTGCCAGTTTCGTAGTGGTAATGAGAGAGTAGTACTTGAGATATCATGTGTTGTATCTTGACCCAACGATCCTCTGGGACGACTATACGATTCACTGATGTGATGAGACGAATTCCAAGGAATTGGAGATCCTGTCTTGGTTCCAGTTCCGACTTAAGGAGGTTTACCAGCCATCCTAACTGAGTGAGAAGCCTGATGGTGAAGTCTAGTTGCAGTCTGAGTTGACTGGGATCTCGATGAACTTGAATCCCGTCGTCCAGGTAGAACGCACTGCGTAGATCTAGACGATGGGCTTCGTCACTCGAGTAAACAACCAGGGAGCCGATGATATTCCAAAGGATAGAACCCTTTATTGGAAGTGGCGTCCGTTGAAAAGGAACCTTAGGTATTTCCTTGAGTCTGGATGTATCGGGATGTGAAGATAAGCATCCTGTAGATCTATGCTGGTGAGGTAGTCTAACGGACGAACGAGTTGTTGCAGCTGAGGAAGATGTATCATCTTGAATTTTGCAGGTCTGCACAGTTATTATTGGTTGAATTTCTTCATGTTGTAGATAAGTCAGAACTTCTCTTTGGAATTCTTCTTCGGTACCAGGAAAACCGGGCATGACGAGATCCTGTTTTATCTCTTTGACTGCCTCTTTCTCGAGTAGAGCTCTGATGACGTCGTCCAGTTTGTCTATCTGGTCGGAAGCGTAGTTGTAGGCCAGAGGAGTACTTGTAAGCGGCGGCACGGCTTCCAGCTGTATCTTGTATCCTCTACGTAGGATCTAGGATACATAATCGTCCTGCAGGATTCCCCAAGTTTCCCAGTAGCATTGAAGATGTCCACCCACTGTCGAAGGTTGTATGGGAACGGCTGGGGTGGAAGACTCCAGTCGCTCCAAACCCGTCCATCAGCGTCTAGATCCTTTGGCACCTCTAGGTGCTCGGCCTCTTCCGGGGTTACCTCTAGGAGCTCCGGTTGGGCGACGAAAAGAGTCTCTGCCTCCTCTAGAGTTAGCATACTTCTTTTCCCTGGCTTTTTGTACTCCAGCAAACTTTGACTTAATGGAGTAGCACTGAGACATCTGGCGGATAACACTGGCTAGTGTATCAATGGACTTTATCATCATCACCTCTCTAGATTCCTTCATGTCTTCTTTGGCTACGCCTAGATGGACGATGCTGACCACGGAGCTCTGTATAAGGACTTGGTGAACCGCTCACTCCAAGTGCAGGATGACAACAATCCCTGTCTCCTCAGAAGCGTCAGGCCCGCCGACGTGGATGCCAGATGTTCAGACATGAACTGACGATCCTTCTTCTGCGTCAAGCAAAGAGGAGTATATCATCCGGTCCACTTCGGAGGTAGAATTCCTAAACTTGAAGATGAGGGTTTCATTAATAGCTCTGGATCTGGTGAGTCCAAAGAAGGTACGTCTCGTGGTAGTATCTAGCTGTGCCAGCTTCTTGTCTTCTATCTTGTAGGTCTTAGAACGGGAGTCGTTGATGATTTTGTAGTTCTCATCAATCTCTGGGGCCTTCATGAAGGGTTCCATATGATGAAGCGGGAATTTCCTGGCGTTAAACGACGGGATGTTTTGGCTCTGGAACTTGGTGGCCTTCCCGAAGGCTGCACTGAGGTTCTCCGGCACTTCTAAGATCGGGTCGATTGGTGGAAAGTTGAGCGTGTCAAAGTCATACGTGACTGCCTCATTAACTTCCTTGGAAGGTGATGCAAGCTCCAATCCGTTGGCAATCCATGACGTAATCTCTGTGTCGGAAAATATGATCCGCCATCGTCTTCTGATCTAGAGACATCTCGTTCTGAAGATCCTCGTCGATGTGAATCCCTTCCTGAAGACCTGCGAGCAGGTGATCGGTTGGAATAAGATTCTTCCCTTGAATCTTGAGATGTACCCCTCTGCCTTCGTGAAGCTGTGGATTCTCTTCTTCGTGCAGGCTCTG